TTTTTTTTGCTTGACAGAGTCAATCCATATTTAGAGGCCAGAATATCTGAAAACTTACAAAATATTTGTCAGTACATGTTCTCAATATACTATAAAGAACACAATTAAATGAGCATGTTTTGCCGGCTTGTTTGTTAGAAAGGCAATAATTGCAGGGAGGATTTGAGATGGTGTTGTGCTACAGCTGGACTTTGTCATAGAGAAGGTTTGTTTATGAGAGATGACAAATCCTGCGTAAACCAGATGATGATCCAGTTGTTTTTAATATGGTTCTGGTCCCATCAAGAAGCCTCAGTTTGACTCCTCCATTAGTTCTGTCGATGCTGCTTCGATTGGCTTTGGCTCTGCATCTCTGTCTTCTTTTTTAAAAGAACATAATGTTTTGTTTCTGCAAAACAATGCATTATAAAAACAGGAATTGCATTTTATATGAGGCGTTTTGAGTCATAAAACAAACAAAAAAACAAGTTAGATAACAATAAATGTGTTCTAAACTAGCCTAAACAGCAGTTTGTTAGGGTTTCTTTTATCTCCAACATGCATTGCGGTGTGATAAATTATGTGGTTATTGCTATAGGAACATTGGTTTGTTGTTTGCTGACTTTATTTATGCTGTTGTTGTCCTATTAGTTTGCTCTTGTTGTGTTTTATGTGTGTTATTTTGAGGTTTGTGTGCTACAGTATTGTTCACAAGTTTACGGTTGGTACGATTTTTTTAATGTTTTGAAAGAAGTCTCTTCTGCTCACCAAGGCTGCATTTATTTTTATCAAAAATACAGTAATATTGTGAAATATTTTTAGAATTTAAAAGTACTGGTTTCTATGTGAACATATAGTAAAATGTCATTTATTTCTGTGATCAAAGCTGAATTTTCAGCATCATTACTCCAGTGTCACATGATCTTAAGAACTCATTCGAATAGCTGATTTGCTGCTGATTATTATCAATGTTGAAAACAGTTGTGCTGCTGAATATTTTTGTGGAAACCATGATACATTTTATTTTTCAGGATTCATTGATGAATAGAAAGAACAGCATTTATTTGAAATAGAAATCTTTTGTAACATTATAGATGTCTTTACTGTCACTTTTGATCAATTTAATGTGTCTTTGCTGAATGAAAGTATTAATTTCTTCAAAAAACTTACTGACCCCAAACTTTTGAATCCATGTACAAATTACACAGTACAATATCTGTGCAAGATTTTTTTCTCTTCAGAGGCAAATATTATGTCTAAGAATGAAAATGTCTTGCTTTGCTAACTGATCATTTGTTGAACAAGATATTTTGCGGTTGATTGTTTGAATGAGACTTTTTTCCATGTAGTTTTACCAACAGTTGACTTATTTACAGTTAACATGAATAAATCATAACTGAGAAACTAGCAATTTTGTAAAACTCACATATCAGATGCTCCCTCGAGCTTTAGGAAACTAGATACTTCTATAGGTCCTAATATATGAAGGATCTCAGCTGAAAACTGTTATCGGTGCATCTCAGAGGATCAACTGAAGCCGTAGCGAGACACCCCTGTCACTTATTTTGGAAAGACGTTTGATTCAAGCCACATGCAGAGAGTTATGCACATTAGTTCTGTGCAAACTATAAGCATGCACATATTTTCAGGTTCCTGAGAGTTTCTTCTTTGACGGACACTTATATCGAGGTCAAGAAAATGGGAACGCTCCTTATCTATTGGGTAATGAATGCCTTGCAATTTGACATTGTAGCCTTGACGCAAGGAACGGATGTATAAAATGCCCTATGTTGTAAAGTATTGAGTCACTAAATGAGGTTTGGATGGGCTTCAGATCTTGGTTTGTGGTGGTGACCCACAGGGGTCAGGGAGGAGCGTGACAGTTTTGAGATGCTCC